CAGTACCTGAGTTCGCGTTCCACACTCAATGGCGCCACAACAACAATCGACACAACAAACATCAAACTCAACAGTACGTACCGCCGTTTTGTCATCTCTGCAAGACGTCAGGACATCCTCGTACACTCTGCCCGAATCAGCAGCAGTCAACGTCGCCGCAACGTCAACTTCGTCCTTCAAGCAGCCAAGTCGCTGCTACACAAGCGCATCCAACCAGTCAAGTATAGTCCTCGACAACACCAGCGACAAAATCTGCACAAGGTGCAAGAAACATCGTCAGCTGCATGGCAAGGACAACTGATTCCTGCATCACCGGATCACCACCATACTACTCACCAGAAGAACAACTCAACAACAGCACCCCTCGCCGCGAATCACTGGAGCCGAACCCGACATACGCAGCTATCGCTCAGAGCGAGCCGTCCGGAAAAGACACCTGGTTCTTGGATAGTTGCTGCGGACAGCACATGTGCTCCTCGGGTCGCTTCGTTCAACGGGAACACCAACTGCAGCGTGAAGTCGTCATTACCGTCGCCAACAATCAGAACCTGCGCACACGACGACAAGGCATCGTTCAACTTCAATCAAGGGAGACCAATGTCGTACTACAAATGTCGAAGGTTTTAATCGCCGAGGGACTCGGGTACAACTTACTCAGTGTCAGTCAGCTGATGGCGAAAGGTATTCACCTCGAAGCAGACAGCACCACTCAGGAGTTCAAACTGTACCACGGAAGAGGCGGACTATACATCGGCAAGGCTGTACTGAAGAACAACGTCTTCGTCCTCGACTTTGTTCCAGATCAAGGCACCGCCGACAGCGACGCCATCGTCAACTTCAGCTCTTGGACACATCCGCCAGATCTTGACCCCGACTTCAGTCCTGGAGGCTTCTGGTATTCGCACACTATACCTGAAGCAGAACGAACACGAGCATTAGTGACAATCCAACAAGCAGAGACAACATCGGCAGAAGAAGAGACAACACCGGCAGCAGCAGAGACAACATCGACAGCAGCAGAGACAACATCAGCAGCAGCAGGGACAACATCGGCAGCAGCAGAGACAACATCGGCAGCAGCAGAAGCAACACCGATCGCGGGTCCTTCAACGGCACCAGTTTTAATCGACGATACTCCACCGACTCCTGCGCAGCAGCTGACTCCCACTCCGCGAGAAGTCCACAGAAGCGCCAACTTCACCGCTGGTTTTTATTCCAACTCCGACTTGTACAGGCGCTCACCCGGACATCGCGCCGGCGAAGACATCTGGCACGCAAGGATGGGACACCCGAGCAACACAACGTTAAACAACACGATAAGAGCAGGAGTGCTCGATAAAGACTCACTCCTGTTACCCGACGGACGAGAACTTCAACGAGTTCGAGGAACGTGCTGTACCTGCCCTGAAGCCGACTTACCTCATCAACCGTTCGTCTCTCACCACAACCCAAGTGCGCCGACATACGCACCACTGGAAAAGGTCTACAGCGACATACTATTCAACCGTGAAAGTGGACAAGGAGCGTACAATACGTCATCACGCTCATCGACGCCGCCACCCGTTACGTCTGGCACCTCAACCTTCCGAGCCGCGACATGGCCTTCGAAGCCTTCGTCGCCTGGCTTCCAGTAGCAGAACGAGAATCAGGAGTGAAGCTAAAAAGCTTTCAGTCAGACGGGGGAGGAGAATATCAGTCACAGAGGTTCAAGTAGTACTTGGCAGAACGAGGCATCAAACGACTCATCTCCCTTCCCTACACTCATCAACAGCAAGGCGTGGCAGAAAGAATGAACAGGACCCTTCAAAACACCATGCGCAAGCTGCTACGTGGCATGCGGCTACCCAACCACCAGTGGCCCGAGGCGATGGACCACGCTGTCATGCTGCACAACTTGCTCTCGTCATCATCGCTCCCGAACAACGCATCACCACATCTGCTGTGGACAGGAAAATTGGGCAACACAAAAATGTTACGAGTGTTCGGCTGCATGGTACAGTACCGACCCCCAGCTGCACGCGCCGGTCGATTTTCCCAACGCGCACAATGGGGACTACACCTGGGCATTGAAAAACACTACAACGCGTGGAAGATTTTCGACGTCCACACAAAGGAAACAGTGGCAGCACGTGACGTGATCTTCTACGAACGGCTCACACTTCCAACGTACCTGTACAACTTGGAAACTTCATGCGACGTCACAGGCGGATTTCGTGGGGACCGAGCCTTCGCCTCGGCAGCAGATGAAGCTGACTTGGACGAGCAGAACGTGGACAGAGCTTCGGAAGAAGCCGGACCTCTTCCCTACTGCTCGGTGGACGTTCCAATGGACGACGATAACCCTCGCGAAAGCATCAACGCCGTAGTCTTCTTCGACTTCGCTGACAATGGTTACGTTACTCCCGCACGAGTCAACACCGACGAAGCAGAACGCGTAGGACCAAATTTCACACCTGATCCAGAAGCGGGAGACGAAGCAGATTATCCCGAGTACACAACTCTCCCCCGATACACACAGAGCGGACTGCAGATCCTTGGACTCGTCACAGCCGTTCACGGAGCAGCGCCACCAAAGGAGCCTGCCACAGTTCAGCAGGCTCTGGGGGGGGAGCACAGGGAAAAATGGCGTGAAGCCATGGACAAAGAGTTGAAAGCGCTGGAAGAACGCAACACCTGGAAAGTCGTACCTATCGGGGTGGCACGGAACAAGACCATTCTCACCGGAAAATGGGTTTTTCGCGTGAAAACAAAGGCAGACGGAACCATTGACAAATTCAAGGCGCGCTGGGTCGTACGTGGCTTCGACCAAGAGCATGGACGAGACTTCACCGAAACGTTCGCACCAATTAGTCGGCACACCTCACTACGGATTCTCCTCGCGATAGCCGCCATGAAGCGGAAGAAGCTTCGTCAAATCGACGTCGCCAACGCCTTCCTCTACGCACCCGTTGACGCTGAAATCTTCGTCGAGCAATCGCACGGCTCCAACGCAGACCCCAACCAAGCCTGTCAGCTATTGAAGTCCCTGTACGGCATCAAACAGGCCCCGAGACTATGGCAACAGTACCTACACGCCCGGCTAATCCGCTTCGGATTCAGGCAACGGCCGCACGATCAAGGGATGTACCGCCTCACGAAAGGAACCGACTACATCATGCTCATCGTCTATGTAGACGACCTACTCTACAACTCATCGACCGACGGCGTCACAACCTGGTTCGAAGGGGAGCTGCAGCGGGACTTAACTCTTACCGTCTCATCAACCGTGACGCAGTACCTAGGACTCAACATACGGGACGGCGAGAACACGATCCACCTCAGCGCCGCAAAATACGCTGACACCATCGCCAAACGCTTCGGATTAACTCCTACTGCTATCTCCACACCGTACCGCTACACCTCCGCAAGTCACGAAGGAACCTCCGTTCCACTCAAGCCCGCCGGTATACGCGACTATTAGCAAAAACTAGGATGCCTGCTATTCGCAGCCGTCACCTGCCGACCAGACCTATCGTATTCAGCAAGCCAGCTCGCCACCTACCTTAAGAAACCTGAAGCAGAGCACATGGCGGAACTCGACCGCGCACTCCACTACCTCGTCAGCACTCCGACAATCGGCCTGACCTACCACAAAAACGGAACCTCAACACCTAAGCTAATCGGCTATATAGACGCTGACCACGCCGGCGACGCAGACAACAGGCGCTCGCGCACTGGCTACATCTACCGACTCAAACCTATCGGGCCTATCTCGTGGCAGTCGAGCAAGCAGGAACTAATCGCTCTCTCCTCAGCCGAAGCAGAATATATTGCACTCTGCTCAGCCACCAAGGAAGGCTTGTATCTTCGCGAACTGCTGGACGAAGCGAAGTTGGCCCAGTTACCCAACTTCTCTCTGTTCTGCGACAACCAATCTGCAATTCACATAGTAAATAAGAACGGGTTCGCGAACCGGATGAAGCATAGCGCCCTGCGATATTTCTTCGTGAAAGACGAGATCGAGAAAGGGAGACTCGAGCTATCTTATTGTCCCACGACCGAGATGGCAGCCGACTACTTGACCAAGAAGCTCGGAAAACAGAAATTCGAGTACTGCATGCTGCTGACTGGACAGGGCCACGTCACTAGCAACGACACTCCAGAAGCGAAGGGGAGTGTTGGAAACAATTAATTAAACGCTTCTTATGTGTCGTAACACCGAACTACAAGCGAGGCGAACTACAGAGGAACAACGGCGAGTCAACCATCGGAGGTTGACAAGAGAAGTAAAGTGCTGGAGGTTACGCGAAGGTCAAAGGTCAGCGTTCTTTGACTTAACGAGTACAGCGCGACAGCAAGGACAAACAACTGACTCGATACTGAGCAGTTGCCCGAGTCGTCACTATATCGAACCGCAACAGCAAAACGGTTATTAGCTGCATCTTTTCATATTCCTTGTACTCTTATAAAACCTTGTATCTCCTTAATTTAATCAATCTACTTTGCCCTCACACACTAGCGCAAGGTGGTTCGACCTTTGTTATCAAAACGCTTCCGCAAAACAACACTTCTACTCAGAGTTTAGCCTTGAAAAGATCCTAAGGGCTTTTTCTCAGCCCAACAGTCCTCCTGCCTCGAACCTTTAGGCTTTTCGAAGATAATTGATTTGTTGATTATTTAGATGGCTGATTCGTTATGTAGGCTTTACTGTTTACCCTATTAGGTTTGATTCAGCCCGCCATACTCGGTTACGCACTATCCGCTTGCTGCACAACCCCAAACCGAATCGCTTTTTGAAACCCAGATTCCAAGCATGGATTGGCTTTCCAACACTGAATTCTCTCCCACACCCATCCATCGATGATCATTTTTCTAGCCGCCATGGACCACTCTCTCAACCCCGACAATACCTAGGCGTCGTATCATCCCCCAACCTGTCAATCTGCCCACAACACCACTTACGCCCACCGCCTCCGCCTTATATCCGACTCTTCGAATTTTGTTACTTGTTGCAGCCCGCCATGGGCATGGCCCTTTACCGCAGGGCCGTGCTCGCTGCCTCCTTCCGCCGCCCCTCCGCCATCCGCGCTGCCGCCGCGCGTCTCTCTTCCTCCGCGCGCCTCGCTCCCACTGCGCGTGCCGGCATCCTGTTGCCTTCACCCCGCCGATTCCCCGCGCACACATCCCGCGCAGCCCTACTATGTAGCCCCTCCGCGGCCTCCGCGCGGCACCTTGACCTTCCCAGGAGCTTCCGCGCATCACTGTGCGCGCCTAGGGCGCTCGCGGGGATTGGCGGAAGCGAAAGGCAGCTGCTGGCCTCCGCCCGCAGCGGAGACAGGGGCGCAGGAATCGGCGCAATAAGGGGTGTGTCCATCGGCGCGGGTAGCGGCGCAGCAGACGCGCAGCTGCGGACGGCGGAGGGGAAGGATGGCGGCGCGGAGGCCGTGCGGGCCAGCGCGTCCGGGGGGGCAGAGGGGGGGAAGGAGGGGCGGGGCAAGGCGAGGGCGGGGAAGAAGAGCAGATCCAGCTACGGCGCGGAGCACATTCAGGTGAGACGGGTGCAGGAGAGAGTGGTGTTGGGTGGAGTAGAGGGAGTTGAGAGATAGGTGACGACAATGAAGGATACGAGATGACGGCCCTCAACCACCGTGCCCTCTCTTGCCTCTGTTCTCGACGCAGCGCTTGCCGTTTGCCCTGGCAGTGCAGCGCATCTCACAACGTGTTGTCACTGTGACTCACATCACGTCCCCACCCACTCCCCCACCCACGCCCACCACGGGCAGGTGCTGGAGGGGTTGGAGCCGGTGCGGCGGCGGCCAGGCATGTACATCGGCAGCACCGGGCCCCGAGGCCTGCACCACCTGGTGAGCCCACCGCCTTGCACCGCTCTGCACCTCCTGGTGAGCCCACCGCCTTGCACCGCTCTGCACCTCCTGGTGAGCCCACCGCCTTGCACTGTCCACCTGGTGAGCCCACTGCCTTGCACCGCCCTGCACCACCTGGTGAGCCCACTGCCTTGCACTGCTCCGCACCACCTGGTGAGAGCCAACCGCTTTGCACCACTCTAAACCCTAAACCCAAACCCTGAACCAACCATAAACCCTGAGGGGGGCGGGCCATGAGGTGCTTGGACATGGGTTGACCTCCCACCTTCCCACCTGTCCCCCCCACACATGCATGGTGGCAGGTGTACGAGGTGGTGGACAACGCCATCGACGAGGCGCAGGCGGGCCATGCGAGCACGGTGGACGTGCTGCTGGGGGCGGACGGGTCCGTGTGCGTCACTGACAACGGCCGCGGGGTGAGTTGAAGGATTAGGATGCAGCGCGCACTGGGGTAAGGGGCTACAATCACCCCACCGTGCCTCTGCTGCACCACACGTGCTGCTGGGGGCTGATGGCTCCGTGTGCGTCACTGACAACTGCCGCGGGGTGAGAGGGTGTGCTTTCAGGGCAGGGCTTATGGCTCAGGGTTGGCTGGAGGATGGAATTCTGGGCGGACTGGGGTAGGGTAAGGGGTTACAGTCACCAGGCCACTCCGTGCCTGTGCACTGCGCATGTTGCCGGGATGAGTATGTGTGAGGGTAGGGTTTTGGGTTCAGGGTACAAGGGCTGGGATGGAGGGCATAGTGGTTAAGGAAGTACGATGAGCAGGTAGTGTCTCGATCAGTATGTGTGTGCATTGCAGGCGATGGAAGCAGGGTTGATGAAAGGGTCCGTAATATTGGGCCATGCCCCAAGGGCGAGTACCGAGATCACTTTGATGGGCTAGGGCCAGCTCCAGTCGTCCAACCAACCTAGGTGTGTGTGTGTTCCTTCCTGGTTATTCACTCTTCATGCTCATCCGTTGGTGGCCTGGTTTGTTTGCCTCTGTGTACGTGTGTGTTGATGGGCAATGCAGATTCCAACGGACATCCATCCATCAACGGGCAAGTCGGCACTGGAGACCGTGCTCACAGTGAGTCACCCACTCGCCGCCCCTCATCTGCCTCTCATCCTTCAACTCTGCATGATCCACGTCCAGCCTCCTGTATGGGCTGTTGCATTGCACCCGCTCCCTTTACCCACCCCATCCGTCATCCCTATGCGATCCACACCTTCCTCTTGCCAAGGCGGCATGACCTCGACTCAGCCCTCAGCCTGGACTCAGCGCGTACCTTCCTCCTCGACGCACCGCCTCTCCCTCGACCTCAGGTGCTGCATGCGGGCGGCAAGTTCGGGGGCGACTCAAGCGGTTACGGCGTGTCGGGGGGGCTGCACGGCGTGGGAGTGTCGGTCGTCAACGCTCTCTCTCAGGTGCCACGCAGGTGCCACTCAGGTGCCACGCAGGTGCCACTCAGGTGCCACTCAGGTGCCACTCAGGTGCCACTCAGGTGCCACGCAGGTGCCACTCAGGTGCCACGCAGGTACCACTCAGGTGCCACTCAGGTGCCACTCAGGTGCCACTCAGGTGCCACTGAGTGGGTACCATGTACCGTACTCTTCCTATCCACTCCCATCACTAGCTTGACGCATCTCTAACGTCTGCCAATATTCACGTGGAGCCACCCCCACACCAACCCCCTCCCCCATGTCCCCCCCTGCAGTGGCTGGAAGCACGCGTGTGGCGGGACGGGCGGCAGTACTCGCAGCGGTTTGAGAGGGGCGTCCCAGTGGGGGGGATGAGGGTGGAGGAGGAGGAGGGTGCAGGGGCACACGAGGGGGAGGCGCAGCGCACAGGCACTCAAATACACTTCCTGCCAGACCCCACAGGTGCTGCTGCAACCGCTGGTGCTTAGCTAAGAGATGTCTCTTCATGCGTAATGAGTTAAATGTGTTCATATTCTGCCTATATCAACACGTATGCTTTTTGAGTCTTGTGTAATTGTTCCGGTGAGCATGACTCGTGCCCCTTTCACCACACTCACTCCCATCTCATCCTTTCACCGTCCATTCATGCTGCAGTCATGACACTAACACCCTCCATTTAATGGTGTACCCACCATGGCGCTTATTTGCCATCCATCTTCCACTCCCGCGCTGCACGGACTTCACTTCCAATCCGCCGCACACAACCCTCGCTTTCATTCTTCACCACACCCCACCACATGGCACTCGATGCTTATTCAAGGAGCCGCGTCCCCTTCCTTGCACCACTGTTTTCATCACCACCAGTGCCACTGACATCCCCTGTGTGTCCCCCACCTGTATCCCCTAGCCCTGTGCCCATTCCTCTCTCCGTCTCACTGCAGTCTTCACCACCACCACCGCCTTTGGCATCACCACTAAACTTCGTCCACCACGCGCTTCTCCTTCCCCTGCCGCCCATGCTCCCGCGCATCCTGCACTGCTTACCACCATCACCGCCTTTCACTTCATTGCCCAACCATTCCTCTCGTCCCTTTCACTCCTTGCGTGGTGCACCACCACCATCGCCACATTGGCATCACCCGTATCCTGCTCCTATGTCTATGCTGGCTCTTGCCGCTCCTTGCAGTGTGCACCAGCATCGCTGCCATTGGCACCCCCCTGTCACCCATTCCCCATGCCCCATTCCCACTCGTCCCTCCCTCCCTCGCCTCCCCTCCCCCGCCAGTGTTCACCACGACCACGACCACGACCCTGGACTGCACCACCATTGCTGCCAGTGACATCCCTCGATCTCACCCCCACCCTTATTCCCCTGCCCCATGCTCCCCTCGTCCCATCCTCTCCTCCCCCGCCAGTGTTCACCACCACCACGGCCCTGGACTTCACCACCATCGCGGCGCGCCTCAGAGAGCTCGCCTTCCTCAACCCCCAGGCAAGCAATCCCCTCGTCCCCTCTGCCGCCTCTTCCCCATCTGCCCGCCTCTGCCGGTTCTGACTTGTTTACACGAGCCCCGCACGAACCTGAATCCCTCTCACATCAACGGCTGCAATTCTGTCCCATGCTGATATCATAGGTGAGCCCTCCATCCACAGGCAGTGCCTGCTTACTCTAGCCAAGCCCCTCATGACCGCCACATACGAGCGCTAGTGCAGTTAGTGCACGCGTGATAGTGAATCCACTGAGCATTCACTGCTTGCGTCACACATGCGAGTTCGAGTCACAGCCACGCCATGATGCAGTCTGGATAAGGTTGGAACAGGGCGGTCAGTCTCCTTCCACATTGCACTGTGGCCGTGCCTGCATGCTCCTCTCCACTTCTCCCCTTTCCTTCCCCACACATTCCTGCCACCCCTCTCCCCCCGTGTCCCCCCCGCCACAGGTGGTGATTCACCTGAAGGAGGAGGGGGGGCGGTCAGCGGACTTCCACTTTGCGGGCGGGCTGCTGGAGTTTGTGCGATGGCTCAACAGCGAGAAGGTGGGCTGCTTGGCTTGAGGCATGTGATGCCATGTGGGCATGGGAGGGCTATGGCACGATTGCAGATGACAGTGTATGAGCTACTATGAGTGGAGTAAAAGGATGGAGGCGTGTGCACGGGTGAAAGCTTGAATTCCCCTACGCGAAATGGAGCGAAGGTCTGAGTGGGCACAGCTCGCCTCATCCGCTTGCCTCATAAGAGTGGTGAACCATGCACCACAACTGCCCCTCGCTTGTGATCCATTCTAACCGCTGCATGCCCCTCTCCACCTCTGCTCTGTCATGCATGCATGTATGCGCATATCCAACCGCAGACACCAATGCACGAGGCGCAGTGGGTGGAGGAGGAGAGGGACGGCGTGGGCGTGGCGGTGGCGTGGCAGTGGAGCGTGGACGCGTACAGCGACAGCGTGGTGGGGTATGCCAACAGCATCCGCACCTCCGATGGCGGCACCCACATCGACGGTGCCAAGGCCGCCTTCACCCGCACCCTCAACGCTGCTGCCCGCAAGCAGAGGCTGCTCAAGGTGGGTGGCTGAGAAGCGTCAAGGCTACAAGCAGGCCTGCTCAAAGCGAGTGGTAGTCACGTGGAAAAATAGTAACATGCTCCAATTGTCAGGCACCTTGTGCGCCTCTGCTCATCTGTGCCCCTTTTCCCTTGCCATCACTCTCCCCTGCCTGCCCTTTCCCTGCCTGCCCTCTCCCTGCCTGCCCTCTCCCTCCCTGCCCTCTCCCTGCCTGCCCTTTCCCTTCCTGCTCTCTCCCTGCCTGCCCTCTCCCTGCCTGCCCTTTCCCTTCCTGCTCTCTCCCTGCCTGCCCTCTCCCTCCCTGCCCTCTCCCTGCCTACTCTCTCCCTGCGTGCCCTCTCTCCTGCGTGCCCTGTCCCCTGCGTGCATGTTGGTGGCAGGAGAAGGAGGAGAACCTAGCAGGCGAGCACCTGAGGGAGGGGCTCACGTGTGTGGTGGCCGTTAAAGTGGCCAACCCCGAGTTTGAAGGCCAGACCAAGGTGGGCGGTTCAAGGTGGGCGGTTCAAGGTGGGCGGTTCAAGGTGGGCGGTTCGGTTCAAGGTGGGCGGTTCAAGGTGGGCGGTTCAAGGTGGGCGGTTCAAGGTGGGGAGGGAGCAAGGGGAGATGAGAGAGTGGGAGGTGAGGGATAGTGGATGTTGAGATGTGAGAGCACAATGAGGGAGACAAGGGTCGTCTTTAAGAATTCAATGCATCAGGGGTCTCAACATTTCTTTGGCATCCTCGGAACATACCTCTTACTCCCTGCCTCGCATCTCCTTCCCCTCTGTGTGTGCGTGTGCGTCAGACGCGGCTGGGAAATCCGGGAGTGCGGAAGGTGGTGGACGGGGTGGTGAGCGACGCCCTGGCAGCATTCCTGGACGCCAACCCGGCAGCGTGTGAAGCCATCCTCACCAAGGCACTCGACGCCTACAAGGTGGGTGTGGGATTCGTGACTCGTCAAAACATTTGTGTCCATGCTGCATGCCCGTCAGATGCCGGAAGCTAGACCCTATGTTACGAGTCCTCCAGAATGTCTGGTATCAGGTGTCACTTCACCACTCATCAGGTGTCACTTCACCACTCATCAGGTGTCACTTCACCACTCATCAGGTGTCACTTCACCACTCATCAGGTGTCACTTCACCACTCATCAGGTGTCACTTCACCACTCATCAGGTGTCACTTCACCACTCATCAGGTGTCACTTCACCACTCATCAGGTGTCACTTCACCACTCATCAGGTGTCACTTCACCACTCATCAGGTGTCACTTCACCACTCATCAGGTGTCACTTCACCACTCATCAGGTGTCACTTCACCACTCATCAGGTGTCACTTCACCACTCATCAGGTGTCACTTCACCACTCATCAGGTGTCACTTCACCACTCATCAGGTGTCACTTCACCACTCATCAGGTGTCACTTCACCACTCATCAGGTGTCACTTCACCACTCATCAGGTGTCACTTCACCACTCATCAGGTGTCACTTCACCACTCATCAGGTGTCACTTCACCACTCATCAGGTGTCACTTCACCACTCATCAGGTGTCACTTCACCACTCATCAGGTGTCACTTCACCACTCATCAGGTGTCACTTCACCACTCATCAGGTGTCACTTCACCACTCATCAGGTGTCACTTCACCACTCATCAGGTGTCACTTCACCACTCATCAGGTGTCACTTCACCACTCATCAGGTGTCACTTCACCACTCATCAGGTGTCACTTCACCACTCATCAGGTGTCACTTCACCACTCATCAGGTGTCACTTCACCACTCATCAGGTGTCACTTCACCACTCATCAGGTGTCACTTCACCACTCATCAGGTGTCACTTCACCACTCATCAGGTGTCACTTCACCACTCATCAGGTGTCACTTCACCACTCATCAGGTGTCACTTCACCACTCATCAGGTGTCACTTCACCACTCATCAGGTGTCACTTCACCACTCATCAGGTGTCACTTCACCACTCATCAGGTGTCACTTCACCACTCATCAGGTGTCACTTCACCACTCATCAGGTGTCACTTCACCACTCATCAGGTGTCACTTCACCACTCATCAGGTGTCACTTCACCACTCATCAGGTGTCACTTCACCACTCATCAGGTGTCACTTCACCACTCATCAGGTGTCACTTCACCACTCATCAGGTGTCACTTCACCACTCATCAGGTGTCACTTCACCACTCATCAGGTGTCACTTCACCACTCATCAGGTGTCACTTCACCACTCATCAGGTGTCACTTCACCACTCATCAGGTGTCACTTCACCACTCATCAGGTGTCACTTCACCACTCATCAGGTGTCACTTCACCACTCATCAGGTGTCACTTCACCACTCATCAGGTGTCACTTCACCACTCATCAGGTGTCACTTCACCACTCATCAGGTGTCACTTCACCACTCATCAGGTGTCACTTCACCACTCATCAGGTGTCACTTCACCACTCATCAGGTGTCACTTCACCACTCATCAGGTGTCACTTCACCACTCATCAGGTGTCACTTCACCACTCATCAGGTGTCACTTCACCACTCATCAGGTGTCACTTCACCACTCATCAGGTGTCACTTCACCACTCATCAGGTGTCACTTCACCACTCATCAGGTGTCACTTCACCACTCATCAGGTGTCACTTCACCACTCATCAGGTGTCACTTCACCACTCATCAGGTGTCACTTCACCACTCATCAGGTGTCACCCTCTTGTCTGAAACTGTGCACTAACACGTAGAGTATGCAAACCCTCCTGCGTGCAAAATCTGTTCCGTCCATTCATGAGGTGGCTTTGCTCTCGTGCACATGATCAGAGTTGATGGCAACCTGTACTGACACCATGCCGTTCACTCACTGTGTTCTGCAAAGCCGCAACTATCTGACATGTAAAATGGGAGTTGCCTGCTTCTGCCCCTCCCATGCCTGACAGGCTGCCGAAGCAGCGAAGAAGGCTCGGGAGTTGGTCCGGCGGAAGAGTGTGTTGAAGTCGGCCATGCTGCCGGGCAAGCTGGCGGACTGCTCGTGTGAAGACCCCGCCAAGTCAGGTGCGCTCGTGTGAAGACCCCGCCAAGTCAGGTGCGCTCGTGTGAAGACCCCGCCAAGTCAGGTGCGCTCGTGTGAAGACCCCGCCAAGTCAGGTGCGCCTGGCAGTTGGGATGGGCACAAGTCCTTAACTTGGTGAATCTGTAGTGGTGCCTAAAGGGCAGCTCGTGATGCTGCTTCCCCAGTGTGGCAGGTGGCTGTGAAGGCCAGGTCACGTCGGTTGATGTAGCTGTGGAGCTGAGGGAAGCACAAGTCCTTAACTTGGTGAATCTGTATACCACATTGTGACGCTAATACGTCCCATGTGAGTCCATGTGAGGGGGTAGCTGCTGCCAGAGGAGGGTAAATCGCAGTCATGGCAGCAGAGGCCTGCACAGCAAGTGCCACTCTGCCGCTTCCTAACCACACGATCTTACCTTGCATCACATCCATTCACATGCACCGCACATTCTCGTTCCACACGCGATTCTCACACTGGAAAGCACTCACCTGCTGGCCGCAAATTACTTGCCACGTGCACTTGCCAACTCTCCATCCCTCCCTCCCGCCCTTCTTTTCGCATGCCCAACGCCACTTCGTACCACACACATGCCACATGGCAACGCGTGTGCCACACCACCCCACATGTGCCACACCACACCACACCACCCCACATACATCAGAGGTGTTCATCGTGGAGGGGGACTCGGCCGGTGGCAGCACAAAGCAGGGCCGCGACAGACGCCTTCAGGTCACAACCCCACTCCTTTCCATTCCTCGCATTCCTCCCATACCCCCCATACCTCTCATCCCTCGCATCCCTACTATCCCTCCTCCCATCTTCCCGTCCCTGCCATCCCCCCATCTCTCTCATCCCCCCCATCCCTCCCCATCCCCCACACCACCCCCATCCCTGCCATCCCCCTCCTGCACGTTGCTCCCTGCGGTGTGTGCGTTCCTGTTTGCCTGGCTCATCCTCACTGCTTCCGTGCAAGCAACCTCTTCTCCCTGCCCCTGTCACCATCACCACGTAAGCCAAGCCTCTTTCCCAACCCACGGCTCGCGTATCTCCTCCGTATATGATTTTCCCGATTATTCCTCACGCACCTCCCCCTCATGCCTATACCCGCCCTTTCCCGCACTCCCTCCCACGCAGTGCTGCCGCGGAGGGGCAAGATACTGAACGTGGAGCGCAGGGACGACCTTTGAGGCGCCTCAAGAGTCCTCTCACACCCCTGCCTGCCTTTCTTCTTTCTCATCCCTCCTCCAGGCGGTGCTGCCCCTGCGCGGCAAGATCCTGAACGTGGAGCGCAAGGACGACGCGGCCATCTACAAGAACCTGGAGCTGCAGAACCTCATCCTTGGTCTGGGGCTCGGGCTAAGGGTAAGGGCATTCCTTCACAGGCGCCGTGCACTGATGTTAGATACTGTCGTTAAATATAAGCACGGCACACACGCATCTCAAATATAGTTGTGTAGGATAAAGGAAGGTAGAATTTCACGAGCGCATATTGGTAGTATGTGGGCCTTCTGTGTTGCTTGTTGTGTGTGTGCCACCCACGTGTGGCGTGGCAGGGGTTTGGCCAGAGGGCTTGGGACCTTTCAGGACTCTCTTATGCGGTTCCATGTGGGTATGTGCGCCATCCATGTGCGCCATCCATGTGCGCCATCCATGTGCGCCATCCATGTGCGCCATCCATGTGCGCCATCCATGTGCGCCACTATGCCTCCCACATGTGGCAGGGCGAGGAGTTTGATCAGAAGGCGCTGCGCTACCATCGCATCATTCTGCTCACCGATGCTGACGTGGACGGCGCTCACATCCGCACCCTGCTCCTCACCTTCCTCTTCCGCTACCAGGTGCCCTCTTCCGCTACCAGGTGCCCTCTTCCGCTACCAGGTGCCCTCTTCCGCTACCAGGTGCCCTCTTTCCTTTTTTTCACCCTTCAACCTCCTCTATGTTCCTGCATGCTACTCCTTCTCACGAACAGAAACTTTATGTTCTCATCCAATTTCATCCCTCCCTCGCCCCATTCCTCCCTGTCTTCAACCCACCTGGTGTGTGATGGGTACGGCATGGTGCGAGCAGAGAGCGCTCTTTGAGAACGGCCACGTCTATGTCGGCGTCCCCCCTCTCTACAAGGTATGGGCTTTTGTCTCAGCACTCGCTTTGTAAGCACACGGTCAGATCGTCTTTGCTGCCACCAGTGCTCTGGGGACAGCTGATTTTCTTGAAACGTCCTCCCACACCCCACCGGCTTCTTCATCCTCTCACTTTCATCCCAACCTCCCCTCCTCCATCACCCCACCCGTGCAGGTGGAGGTGGGGCGGCAGGCACCGGTGTACTGCTACAGCGAGGCAGAGCTGCAGGTGCACCTGCGCTCCCTGCCCGCCTCCGCGTCCCCAACCATCCAGCGCTTCAAAGGTGCGCTCCTTCAGAACGTGTGTTCCGTCGGGAAGGTGCATTACTTTCTAAGATTTGTTCCTTGAGAATGTGAGTTCCTTTAAAAGGTGCTTTTTTCAAGGAAGGGGAGGAAATGTGAGACATTGCTATGGGAGACGTTGCTATGGGAGACGTTGCTATGGGAGACGTTGCTGGATCCCAGCCAGCATTGCCTGACAGAAATTGTCTCTTTTCACGTCCTTCCACTGCCCTCCCACTGCCCTCCCTCTGCTCTCCCTCTGCCCTCCCTGTGCCCTCCCTGTGCCCTCCCTGTGCCCTACCCCTCAGGGCTGGGCGAGATGATGCCGACACAGCTGTGGGAGACGACGCTGGACCCCAGCCAGAGGCGGCTGAAGCTCATCACGGTGGACGATGCGGCACAGGCCAGTGTCACCCTCTCCGTGCTCATGGGGGATAAGGTGCGGTCGTGGGGGATAAGGTGCGGTCGTGGGGGATAAGGTGCGGTCATGGGGGATAAGGTGCGGTCATGGGGGATAAAGTTCGCTCATGGGGGATAAGGTACGGTCATGGGGGATAAGGTGTGCTCATGGGGGGTAAGGTGCGGTCATGGGGGATAAGGTGTGGTCATGGGGGATAAGGTTCGGTCATGGGGGGTAAGGTGCGGTCATGGGGGATAAGGTGTGCTCATGGGGGATAAGGTGCGGTCATGGGGGATAAGGTGCGGTCATGGGGGATAAGGTGCGGTCATGGTGGATAAGGTGCGGTCATGGGGGATAAGGTGCGGTCATGGGGGATAAGGTGCGCTCATGGGGGATAAGGTGCGCTCATTCTCATGCGCTAATGGGGGGGTACGAGGTGGGCTCATGGGCTCATGGGGGAGAATCTGGGTGAAGTGGGTGGAAGGGCATGGGCTGAATTCGATGTAGTGGATATGCGTCCTCCTCCCTGCTGGCCATCCCATCACCCCATGACGTGTTCTAAAAATGCAGTGTATCATATCCACCTATCTACTTGCACTGTTGCACACCCTTCACTACACACACCATGTGACGTGCTCTGTCTGGTGCGGTTGCACTTCGCAGGTGGGGCCGCGGAAGGAGTTGATTCAGACTGTGGGAAGCAGGATGGCAGCAGCTGGCATGCTCGACATCTAGCCAGCACCGAACGATCAGGGTATATTTTATATTTTTGGGGGGCAGCACTGATTGATCAGTGTGCCCTGAATTCAATCGAAGGACCTGTCCGGTATTCATTCGAAAACTTCGTTCCTCAGTACCATAATCACCCCGCACAAATGTGAGTTTAACATCATAGTTGCTTTTACATCACAGGCGCAAATGTTCGTTTTGGTAAAAATCACCTGCAGCGTTGTTGCTACCGTTGCTGCTGTTGGAATTAAGGTTAATTCGGGTTGCTCCAATAAACATATGTAGAGGTAGATCTATACTATAGTAGTGTAAAATACATTGGTTGGGTTGTGAAAACTTGTGGTGTACACTCCATAGAGTGGACCACCTCCCAAACCCTATAGGTTAGGGTTCTCTCTTGTTTGGAACTTCACTTCTTGGAAACCCTTTGGTTCTAGCATGGTTCATGCCCAAGTTGGCTCCTAAGATTCCTAGGCTTTAGGAGGAGGTTCTAAGACTACTATAGTTTCCGCTAGTAGCTTAGACCATTCTAATATGGTATCAGAGCTAGGAAGGCCTAGCAATCTGTTGGAATAGGAGCTACTCAAGGAATTGGACCATACTACCTTGGTGGAAGCTAAATAGCTTCCATCCCTCCCGAAGGGCTGCCGAAATTGCACCGTGGCGGACTCTGGACGTGGGAGGGGAGGAGGAGAAAACAAACCCGCTGGAAATCGTGTGGATCCGTTTGGGAGGACGAGAGGGGCGGCATCCATTCACGGAGAGGCTCAGTCAACGTTGGCCTATCAAGACGTGCAACATATCGTTGGAAAGCCCTCGACACGATCTACAACAGTTGCCCCAAAGTCGTCACAAATCGACGAGCGGATCGGACGCAATTCGCGAAATACAGTCGGCGGACGAATTGGAAAATCGCGAATCGGGAACGATTTAAAACCCGCAGCCGGTGAGCAGCTAGACCGACTGCCATAGCTTAGAAATTCTAGGCTTCCATGTAATTCCAGCGCATGACTCCAAATTCCGCCACAAAGCTTTAGGACCGTGACTCCATTCTAGCAATCCGTCGCACTTGCCAAACGACGCGCCTAGGTGAGATTGCAACTTAGAGCCTACGGTGTTCTAGCTAAAGCCTTCGCGGATGAAAAACGGATTCCCGTCGCCCATGGGCACACCCTGCCCGCTAGAGCACGCACGCTCGGTCCCGTCACCATCGCGCACACCATTCCTCTGCCCACGCTCAAGACCATCCCGTAGCCCACGCTCGCTCCCTTTCCATCGCGATCGCGCAACCGTACCGTCGCGTCGATACTTTGTGTCGAAGGGAAGGGCTAAGGCGCCGTCGGCTTGGGGAAATGCAGTCGACGTGAACGCGGAATGCGGGCGACATGGAGGACTAAAGCTGGCGATGGGAAGAGGTAATGCGGGCGCTTCGTATAGGAATTGCATGTGACGTGATTGCTGAATATTGGAGACGTTTCGCTCAATGAGGGGTTTGGAAAGGCTAAGTACGGGCGACCACAAGGCGGAATGCGGGCGAAGGGAAGGCTTACCGCGGGCGTTGGGAAGGCTTTATGCGGGCCGACGGGCTCCCTATTCCCCCGTGTCGCCTAGGCTAAATGCGGTCGACGGGCAGGCTTCTGGTGTTGCGCGTCGGGAGGGCTAGCAAATGCGTTTCGCGTCGTGAAGGCTAGCCACTGCGTGTCGCGTTGGGCAGGCTAGCAAATACCCTTCGCGTCCGGACTGCTAAGTGCGTTTCGTTTTAGGGACGGCTAAAGGCGTTTAGCGTCAGGAAGGCCGAATGCGTTTAGTGTCGGGAAGGATAGTTGCGTTCTCCGTCCACCACATCCTGTTCTTGGGCGGTGCACGGCGTGTGCTTGGTTAGTATCCTAGTGGTGCTTGTACAAGTCATCTAAACAGCAAGTCGAGTAGCGAGAGGCATGTTGAGGTGTGGTAGGCTACTTCATCCCATTCAGTTGGTGCTGTGTTCACATTCGTTCTCGAGTCGTTTGATTGGTAGCGACACCACTTCCGTCGCTACATTGCTTTCGCTAACAAGCAGCTCTCGCAATTCCTCCGAACCTCAGATTGCCTGACCCCTTACCGAACCCAAGCCTCGCGTTGACTGAGTTTTGTAATTCAGGCTGCGGGTTTTAAAGTGCGGAAAAACGATTGGAGGGCGGACGCCAAGAGAGGAGGCCAGGGCGCATCCAACAAGCCAAAATTCGGGAGAAACGGTCGAGTATTCATCGACGGAAAATCGGCCAACTTCGACGAGTTTAAGCGGACAGCTCGGACGCGGGATTCAGGTGCACGATACACCATTGGGACGGTCTCGGAGCGAGGATTCATCTGAGCCAAACGGCTCATCATTCGGAGGTTTGAGCGCGGAGTTACGCTCCAAGAACCAAGAGGGGGCGAATCTGTCCACATCGTCTTCACCGCCGCCGCCGTTGCCTCCACCACCACCTCAACGTCAATCTTCAGTGCGTCTGCCGCAAATGGATCATGACTTAGGCGAAGGGAAGTTGGAGAGTGCGCCAAAATTCGACGGGAGCGACTATTGGACTTGGAGTTTCCGATTCGAACAATGGGCAGAGGCGCACGATCTTTGGGGGTACTTTGATGGTTCGGAGGAGCGGCCTGCATCGGGTGACGCACGGCTGAAGTGGGAGAGGAAAAATCAGAAGGCATTCGCCCAATTCCGCAATGCCTTGGTGCCAGATGAGCTAATTCGCTTGGTACGGGAGTTCGGCGGCAAGACCGAGTTGGGCAGCGCACCTGTTGATGGCGGAGCAAGAGCGGTCACCCGAGTTCCTGCAGGCACAGCAGCGGCATACACACGAGTGAAGGAGTTTTACCTTCAGCGTGGATTGTGTAACCGGATGGCACTCTCTGAGGAGCTCTCTTCCTTGAAGATGAAAGAGGGGGAGGGGGTGGCTGCATACTGGGCGCGTGCCGAGGACTTGAGGTCCAAGTACTTGGCTGCAGGAGGGAAGGAGGAGGTTGAGGAGTGGATGATGAGGATACTCAAAGGACTACCTCCTCACTTTGAGATGCTGAAGGTGGTGCTGAACAACCAATCATCATCGCTCACTAAGGATCAGCTGCTTACCTCTTTGAGGAGTGAGGAGATGCGGATTGGTGTCTCACCAAGATCGGATGGTGTAGCCACTTTTGGAGCGGGTACAAAAGTGGGCAGCAGCGGCAGGGGAAACTGTGACAAGGGAGGAAAGCATGGAGGCAGCGGTAGCAGCAGCGGCACCAACTCGGGCAGATGGGGTCAGGGGAAAGGCAAAGCAGGAGTGCTTGATTTCCCTTGGGGGTCCAAGGGCATGACTCCTAGGGGGTTGTGTCATGGCTGCTGGGATGAGGGACATGCATGGCAGCGATGTCCTCACCGACCTAAAGGAGGAATTCCGGCATTCTTACAGCGGGGGGGTCGTGGGTCCAACGGCAAGGCACAGGTAGCGGATGCGGAGGAGCAGGATGACAAGTCAGAGGTAGCGGTTGGAGAGGCAGTTGCAGCAGTAGGAGGGGAGCAGCCGCGAGAGGGGTGGTGGATTGATAGTGGGGCCAGCCACAACTTTACTCCTTTTGCTTCAGACTTTAAGAGTAAGCTTGAGCCACCTGAGATTCGGGGAGTTAGATTGGGAGATGGACGGGTGGTGAAAGCAGTTGGCATGGGTGAGGTTCTAGTGGTTGGTGCTGGAGGTCAGCTGCTGAGGATTCAAAAGGTCCACCTTGTGCTAGAGATGCACACGCGTCTGCTGTCAGTCCTACACCTCACCTCTCGGGATGTCATTGTCACATTCAAGGGCACGGGATGTGTTATCAAACGGGGGGAGAGGGTTTTGGCGATAGGAGAAAAGGAGGGGGGAAGGGACCATGGATTGGTGCGGATGTCTCTTCCTCTTGCTCGGGGTACACAGGGCAGTGCTCTTGCAGCTAGATCATCCTCCTCATTTTCTCCATTGACCCTTGCTCACCGCCGCCTTGGTCATACTGCCCCCACGACACTGCAACAGATGGCTCGGGGGAACAGTGTACTTGGCTTGGAGATTGGGGGAGGGAGCACTGATTGCTCTCCATGTGAGCCTTGCTTATTGGGAAAGTCGGCTCGAAAGCCGTTTCCCAGTGAGGCGTCTCGGGCACTTGAGCCTTTGGATGAGGTCCACATGGACTTGTGGGGGCAGTGCGCACACCGTCACTGGGAGGAGTGGTGTATGTCCTCAGCCTCATTGACGACTTCACCAGACGAGTTTGGTCGTTCCCACTCCCCAATAAGGAATCAGCCACAGTCGCAAAAGTTCTTCGCCAGTGGCATAAGGACGTGGAGTTGGAGTGTGGGTGGAAGCTGAAGGCTGTTCGCTCAGACATGGGTGGCGAGTTCTTGGGGGAAGCTGTGAAAGCATGGAAGGCTGAGTTTGGCATCAAAACTCAATTGAGCGTTGCAGATACACCGCAGCAGAATGGGGTGGTGGAGATGTGGCACAGGACGATGGCAGAGGGGATTCGCACATTGTAGGTCGACAGTGGTCTCCCTGCTCGCTTGTGGGGTGAAGCATTGATGTGGGTCGTGTGGGTTAAGAATAGGGTCACCCACAGTGCTTTGCCTGCCTCCATCACACCAATGGAGGCGTGGTCGGGCCAGAAGCCGCATGTGGGCATGGCTCGGATTTGGGGTTGCATGGGGAGTGTCATGTTGCATGGGCATGAGAAGGGTGGCAAGCTTGATGCACGCGCTGTCATGTGTGTCTGTGTTGGGGTGGACATGGAGAGCAAGGGTTGGCGCATGCTGGACCATTCTCTCATGCGCATTCGCATTGCTCGGGATGTTGATTTTCTTGAGAATGTGATGTGGAAGGATTGGGACAAGTCAAAGGGATTTGGGGAGCTTCTGCAGGATGCAGCTGAGATTTCCCAGCTCCTCCCTCTTCCACTCTCGCCACCCTCAGCAGCGGTTGACGACGCTGAGATGCCACCTTCATCACCGCCACCGGCACCACTGAGTGTGTCGGTGCAGCAGCAGCCCACCCCTATGCAGCAGCTCAGCGGCCCCTCGGTCATTCAGCGGAGATCCGCTCCACAGGCTTCTTCCTCTTCCTCCTCCTCTGGTCAGCGAGCTGTCACTCTATCTACGAGTGACCCTATGTCACCAGTGTCTACCTCCCCACCACCGGTTACAGGTTTGCAGGTGCTTGGTGTCCGGTCTGGTACAGTGGTGAGGAGGTAGGGGGGGATGCTGGTGTGGCTGAGGGCATGATGTGCTTGGCCAGAGAGGTGGAGGGTATTGCACTAGCAGGTGTGAGCACCGGTAATGTCCCACGCACACTCATTGAGGCACTGCGTGGCCCTGAGGGCTCTGCGTGGAAGGCAGGCGCTGAGAAGGAGGTGAATGCCATGCGCACTATGGGTGTATGGGATCCAGAGCCGGTCGACTTACCTCCAGGTAAGAAGGCCATTGGGGTCAAGTATGTTTTCCGCAGGAAAACTGACAAGGAGGATAAGGTAGTACAGCACAAGGTTCGCCTTGTTGCTAAGGGGTACACTCAGGAGCCCGAGAAGGACTATGATCAGGTATTTGCCCCTGTGGGCAAGCTCACCTCAGGTCGGGTGCTTCTTGCAGAAGCCGCGGTAAAAGGGTGGCATGTACAACAGGAGGATGTTGATCATGCTTACCTCAATGCGCTCCTTCAGGAGGAGGTGTATGTGAGGCAACCTGAAGGATTTGATGATGGTACAGGTAGGATGTATCGCTTGCGCAAAGCTCTCTATAGGCTCAAGCAAGCGCCTCGTGCCTGGAATGAGGAGATTGGTACCACCCTGATTGCAGCAGGGTTTGACCGCAGTGCATGCGATGAGGCTCTGTACATCAGGTTTGTGGATGGAGAGCCTGTGTTTGTATTGGTGTATGTGGATGACCTCTTGCTTGTGTCTCCACGCTTGGAGCTGATTGACCAGGTCAAAGAGGTGCTTGCTCAGAGGTACCAGATGAAGGATCTGGGTGAGGTATCCACGTACCTTGGTGTGGAGGTCCGCAGGTCGGTCAAGGATGGGTGGTTGGAAATTGGTCAGGAGAAGTATGTCCGTGGTCTTCAGGGAAGGTTTGGTGATCTGCTGAAGGAGACACATAGGGTGCACACTCCCATGTCACCCAATGATCTCTCTAAGATCAGGAAATGTACTTGGTCGAGTGAGGAAGGTGCTGCAGCTGATGTCAAGGTGTACCAGAGTCTCATTGGCAGCTTGATATGCTGCTGTGACTACACGTCCTGACATGTCATTCACTGTCAACACCCTTGCACAGTCCTGCGTGGCACCAAGACACATTCACATGCGCGCTGCACTGAGAGCACTCAGGTACTTGGTCGACACAGCTGATCGTGTCATCAGGTATGAACGCCAAGGTGGTGAGCAGGTTGTTGGGTACACCGACTCCGGTTGGGGTGGTGAGACTGATGGCAAGAGTCGCTCTGCCTACATCTTTAAGTTGGGAGGAGGAGCTATCAGCTGGTATAGCAAAAGGCAAGACAGTGTTGCAGCGAGCGTTTCTGAAGCTGAGTATAAGGCTCTATCGGAGGGGGCCAAGGAGGCCATTTGGATGAGGAGTTTGTTGGCAGAGATGCATCTGGGCGATGGGGGGGCTATTCCATTGTTCTGTGATAATGAGGCTGCTGTCTCCCTTGCCCACAATCCCGTTCTCCATCAGCGCACCAAGCACATTAAGGTGGCTTGGCACTTTGTACGGGATGCGGTGCGCCAGCAGGAGGTCGAGGTGCACTCAGTACGCTCCCACCTCCAGGATGCCGACATGCTCACCAAAGCTCTCCCAAGCTTGCAGCTGCATGAGAACCTTGAGCGCATCGGCATGCGAGTGATGGCTGCAAAGGCCAAGGCTTCATTCGCCGGAGGGGTTGCGTTTTGGTCAATGGGTGAACTTTAATGCTTATTGGAGCAAGGGGGGGTGTTGGAATTAAGATTAATTCGGGTTGCTCCAATAAACATATGTAGAGGTAGATGTACACTATAGTAGTGTAGAATACATTGGTTGGGTTGGGAGAACTTGTGGTGTACACTCCATAGAGTGGACCACCTCCCAAACCCTATAGGTTAGGGTTCTCTCTTGTTTGGAACTTCACTTCGTGGAAACCCTTTGATTCTAGCATGGTTCATGCCCAAGTTGGCTCCTAAGATTCCTAGGCTTTAGGAGGAGGTTCTAAGACTACTATAGCTTCCGCTAGTAGCTTAGACCATTCTAATAGCAGCCACTGCCAGCAGCGTTGTTGCTGCCATTGCTGTCATCGCCAGGAGCGTAGTTACTGCCACTGCTATCACCGCCAGCAGCGTTGTTGCTACCATTGCTGTCGCCGCCAACAGCGTAGGGCATCAAGAATTGCGGCGTACGTGAATGTATAGAGAACAATACTAGAAATCGCTGCGATTGTCCAGCTGTTACCGTAACATTCTTCGGGACTTGCTTGTTTCAAACAAAAGACTACAGCTGTTACAGAATTTCCTCCGTGTTTTTTTTCTATAACCGTTCGTTGAGATGTGCCAATTTGCCAAATTATAACTTATCATAGAAAAACTCATCATAACTTTTCATTACAACGTGAATAGGAAGTATTCTCTGCACATCTCCCTTCTATAATGCGAGTCGCGTATATCCCGATGTTCTTGACGCAGTCAATGACCGCGTTTCACATTGGTTTTCAAATTTACTGCTCTGGACCGCTGCGCATAGATATCAACCTGAGGTATTGCGCGAAGCGAAATCGATTCGCCCCGACGTGACGCGATTGATCCCTTCCCACCAATAGCTTTTAGCATCTACCAGCAGTCGTTAATCGTCGTCGTGCTGTCTTTCCCAGCTATCGAGCCACCAGTGTCTGCTCCAACTCGCGCGGCCGTTCAATGGCGAAGGCGTCCGATGTAAGCAGCAGCATGGGGAAGGGCAAGACCGCCTTTCTTGCGCTGCTCACCTTCATGGCCGTCATCGCTAGTACGCCGCATCACGCGCCACATGATCATGTGGTCACGCGCTCATGCACTCATGTACCCCATCCCAAAAATGGGGTGTCAGAAGTACGAACGAGAATGAATGAACTAGCAGCAAGTTGGGTACAAGTAGCAAACCCTAATTGGGTTGTACCCCATATGGGCTACCCCACTATAGCTTACACAATAAGCAGCATATAAGTTTGACATGGGGGGCCCCGAAAAGTAGGGTTTCGTGAAGTATGTCTGAAGTAACACGGGCATCTGAGTGGGGAAACCTACTTTCGACGCGGAAATCAGCCCAAGTACCTTCGGAACTCTTGAAAGTGCTTGGGCAGCCAGCTTGGCAGCTTCGGAAACCACACGAGTGGTTGAGCATCTAGGGTGGCAGCTTCGGCGGCACATCACAGCTTCGGTACCCTTCATGGAGGCCTGGAACAGGGCTGGCGTGTCCCATTGGCTCTAAGTCCCGTCCGAAATTGCTCTGTTGGAGTTGGATAAACGTAATATTAGTACACAGACTGGAAACTTTGAATGTGGAATCAAATACAGTTTGTGATATAATTGTGCTCTAGTTCTCATGCCTAGAAAAATCTATACATGTATTGGATTATATTAGACATCTGCGAGCGTTATTTTAAACAATGATACATTTTTTGTTCACGATGACATGTTGCGTACATGCCTATACTTGCACAGTTTCATGCCATTAAACGCACAAACAAGCGTCACGTGCTGCGTAGTTGTGCGAATGATCTCAAACTAGTTCCTCTGGCTAGGTAATAGGATGTACTACCTGAATGTGAAGAGAAATAGGGCTAAAAAAAACATCCAGACGATTAAACGGTGACATGGTGCGTACATGCCTATCCCTGCACAGTTTCATGCCATCAAACGCACAAACAAGCGTCACGTGCTGCGTAGTTGTGCGAAAGATCTCAAACCAGTTCCTATGGCTAGGGAATAGGATGTACTACCTGAATGTGAGGAAAAATAGGGTTAAACATTACATCCAGACGATTAAACGGTGACATGTTGCGTACATGCCTATCCCTGCACAGTTTCATGCCATCAAACGCACAAACAAACGTCACGTGCTGCGTAGTTGTGCGAATGATCTCAAAACAGTTCCTCTGGCTAGGGAATAGGATGTAATACCTGAATTTGAGGAGAAATAGGGCTAAAGAAAACATCCAGATGATTAAACGGGGACATGTTGCGTACATGCCTATCCTTGCACAGTTTCATGCCATCAAACGCACAAACAAGCGTCACGTGCTGCGTAGTTGTGCGAATGATATCAAAAACATTCCTCTGCCTAGGGAATAGGATTTACTACCTAAATTTGAGGAGAAATAGGGCTAAAAAAAACATCCAGACGATTAAACGGTGACATGTTGTGTACATGCCTATCCCTGCACAGTTTCATGCCATCAAATGCACAAACAAGCGTCACGTGCTGCGTAGTTGTGCGAATGATCTCAAACCAGTTCCTCTGGATAGGGAATAGGATGTACTACCTGAATGTGAGGAGAAATAGGGCTAAACAAAACATCTAGATGATTAAACGGTGACATGTTGCGTACATGCCTATCCTTGCACAGTTTCATGGATAGGCAGCCAACACACTATCAGCAGTTTAGAGCCCCGTCACTTATTTTAACTCCCGCATCTTTGTACCAATAGCCTCTAATATGTATTTAGGTGAAGCTGTCCGGGTTTGAGATCATTCGCAACTGATTTGGATAGGTAGACAAGCGTCGGTGCGCAAAACGGACCAAATCTGTTCAAGGATAGGCAGCCAACACACAATCAGCATATTAGAGCCCCGTCCCTTATTTTAACTCCTGTTTCTTTGTACCAACAGCCTCTACTATGTATCTAGGTGAAGCTGCGGGTTTGAGATCATTCGCAACTGATTTGGATAGGTAGACAAGCGTCGGTGCGCAAAACGGACCAAACCTGTTCAAGGATAGGCAGCTAACACACTATCAGCAGATTAGAGCCCCGTCCCTTTTTTTAACTCCCGCATCTTTGTACCAATAGCCTCTAATATGTATCTAGGTGAGGCTGTCCGGGTTTGAGATCATTCGCAACTGATTTGGATAGGTAAACAAGCGTCGGTGCGCAGAACGGACCAAATATGTTCAAGGATAGGCAGCCAACACACTATCAGCAGTTTAGAGCCCCTTCACTTGTTTTGACTCCCGTTTCTTTGCACCAATAGCCTCTACT